CAATCTCTGGTGTCCCTCGTTGAGCAACTAGAAAGCAGCTCTGTCTAAAACCTTTGCTCCAACTTATATCTCTGCTCACTTAAAAAGGTAAAAGAATATTTACTTAGTTCTTCCTTTTTATCTGTCTTCTCTCCCCTTAAAAAAACAAAGAAAGGTTTGCTGCTGGCATTTTATTGAGGGAGACAACAGACACAGTAGGTTTGGAACCCTGGATACTTTGAACAATTCAAGTTCTGAGGCTTTTGTCCTGAGTTGTCAAGTTGTGGCTAATTCCCGTCCACCATCAGCAGACCAGCTTTTGGGGACTATTATGCTCTATCCTTGGACAACCTAGTGGTCCAGGTGGCTTGTGGATAGTGAAGGGTGACCTGCTGTCCCAGTTTTAGCTCTGAAAGTTTTGTGTTCCAGGGAACCCTGGGTCTGGACAGACAGAAAGCTGGATGTTGGTGGTTTGTAGCAGTTGAGGGAGGATGAGAAGCCGCTTAAAGATGAGAGACAAGGTGCTTTGGGGTGTTCTATGTCTGCATTTGAATTCTGTCTCCACCACCAACTTTACCCTGTTTGTCACCTTCAGTAGATCACTTCATCTCCCTGACCTGTGGGAAGCTGTGTAAAAGCTGAAATGTTTCTCTTAGAGCCAAGTGCTTGGCTTCTGCCTTGCCATTTACGGCCCCCTCTGGTGTTACTCATCAGAAGCGGAGAGAGTGAGGTCTGTGTGCCAGGACAGAGCTGGGTGCTGGAGATGCAGACCTAAGGCTCCGGGTTCCCACTGTCCCTGCCCTCAGAGCATAGTGCCATCTGCGTCCCTGTCCAGCAGTGGTCCTCCAGGACTTTCTGCCCAGGAAGGCTACATTCTGTGCTCTGGTAACTCGAGAGCAGTCTCTCTTCCGAGGAGATAGCAGGCCAAGCTTCCTAAAGACAGCCTTTCAGCCTGGAAGAATCAGCTCTTGAACTGTCAGATTCTGAAAGCTGGGAGCCCTGTTCTCTTAAGTCTCCTTTCCCCATTTGGAGTCCCAGCTCTGTCCCTTACAAGGAGTGTAACCTCGAGCAAAGCACCACTTCTTTTTGGTCCTGAGTTTATCTGTAAAATAAAAGATCTTAGTGATTCCCACCTTCTGAGTTATTAGGAAGCTTCAATGAGGTCGTTCCTGTTAAGCATCTGGCGGAGGGTCTGCTATGTAGTAAACAACAAATGGAAGGAATGAAATGATTCCATTTTCCATGTGGCCCTGAGGGTGTTGGGGCCAGCTCCTCTCTACCCTTTGCCCAGACTCCTAGCCCCTCAGACAGAGGAGCCACATCTCCTTATATTTGTCTCTATGTCCACACCCAGCCCCTGCCTGGTAAATAGTACGTGCTTAATAGTGTTAGTTTATGAGCTGCTGCTGCCGCTGATAGGACCTATCTTCCAGGATTAATAAGGGTAAGATAAGAAAATGTATTTGCAAGCACACCTGTAAGTTGAAAGTCCTAACACTCAGTATGTCCCTCCTCTAAGATGTTTATCGTAGTGTGTTGTTCATTAGTTGTTCAGTATCTTCTCTGCTCACTAGTCTGTGCACTTCTCCAAAGCAGAGGCTACATCTTCCCTCTAAATCCCCACTCCCAACACCCATATAGTGCCCTGCTCCCAGTAGATGCTGCCCAGGTGGTTTAATTGAATGCACATGACGTACGCATGTAAGGAATTGGGAAACTGTTAGAGGAGGAAGAGAGGGCTGGTGCACACACACTGGTTCTTCTTTCCTTCCAGGTGCTACCTCTGCGTAAGAAGACACTCAACTACTCCTAAAAACTTCCTCCCAGGGGAATGAGGAGATTGAGGGAGGGAAAAGTAGGAGGGGCAGGAATAACAGTTTGATCATCATCAGAGCGCCTGCCTCCCGAAGCTAGCACGGAAGCACAGCTTCCCAAGCGCCTGGTTGGAATTAATGTGATCAATGTGTAACTTTGATCTTACCTTTCCGATCCTTATGAGCCAAAAACTGTTGGCCTGCTCTGGGTGCACTGGCTGCAGAGTCATGCCCCCTTGGTAGAGATTAGGGTTCCTCTCCCATGAATGGGCTGTTGGGGCCAGGATTTTGAGGTTCTGGGCTTGGATGGGTAATAGGCGAGGGTTAAGAAGTACCAAAGTGAAATTCTTTGTGCTCTGACTCCTCAAAGGGTCTTCTGTCAGAAGCTCTTCTTTCCATCCTCATTGGCTTAAATGAGGATGCCAGTATGCAGGGTCACTGACACAGCAGCTACTGATGGTGCTGAGAAGGGGTGCATGCAAAGTTGTGTTCTAAGATTGGCTCTTGGAAGTCCCTCTTCTTGGGCTTGGGGAGAAGGCCTGGTTGATGGACCTCTGGAGAGGTATGTTTAGGATAGGTCCAGTTCGCTGTGTCCCTGGCCCCCAGGTCTCTCTGGGATCTCCCTTCTCAGTTTGCTTAGAGCTGAGGCTAGCTTCTTCTTCGTCCCTGGAAGGGTACTACTGAGTGTGAGCACGGGTTAGCTCCATTTCCCTCGGGGTGAGGGAGCCAGCAGCAGGAAAGGTGGAAGAGCAAGCTGCGGTGGGGAAACCCAAAGGCCGTTTTCAGAGAATCTACCGGGGATGCCGACTTGGTGCTGGTCAGAGCAGGAGCTGAAGCGCTTACTATTTTATAATAAATACTAATGAAATTCTAGATCTGTAATAACATTTCAGATATCTAAAACAAACCATGTGCTTGTAAAAAAGTGGAAAGAGATCAACTTTAAGCCATAAATTCTTGGTAATAGAAGGGTTTTTTCTATTTATGTTTGATAGATATTTTTGTTTCCAGAGGAATGTCAACTCCTAATTTCATAATGTATCATGGGCTTAAGAAAATTGAATTTAATAAAAGCCAGAGATGAATGGCATCCTTAAAGGTCCCAACACTTGTCTTTATTAGCAGGACAAACTGCAGGTCTCCAAACACTGCTTCTCTCCAAATGAAAGTTTAAATGAAAAGTACAGTTGTGTCACAGGTTCAATTTCATTGTGGGCCAAGCTAACATTGTTAGTGAGGAACTGGCTGTATTTGTTTCTTTAGACACCAGGGCAGCCAAACTCACCAGGCTGTGGAGCTCCTTCTGGGGAAGTGCTGCTTCTCCGTAGCAGGAGAAGCAGGATACATCAGAAATTCGGGCATCCGGTGAGCCCCGCTTCAGAGGGAGTGCTTGGAAATCTTGGCTGTCTGGTTTTTCAGGGGGATCAGTATGTATTTTTGTGTATGTGTGCCTCCATTTTATTTTTCAGCACAAAACTGTCTTCTGCCAGGTCTGCTAAGGAGTGTTTTGTGAGGAGTGAGAAAGACCCAGGGGACTGGGGGAGTCTCCTCGTCTCAAGTGGGGAGGAAAGGTATCACCTAACCTAAGCAAAAGCTGGGGCCTCCTTGCCATTGCCCCCTCTGCCTCAGCCTTGATGCCCTTCCTATCTCAGGGGGCTCCTGTCAGCTTCCCCATTTGGGGGGATCAGCTGGGGAGGCCAAGCAAACAGAACCTCTGGGTTTTTCTGTCATGAAATCTCACTGCCTTGATTGGGTCTTCAGTCCTGCTTTAAGGTGTTGGGTAAAAATAGATGCTTTAAAAAACAAGCCCGATAATCACAGGTGCGTTTGAGGGAGAGGCTCCCTGGCTGCCGTGCGACATCAACGAGATTGGCCATTTCTCCCATCTTCCCACTCGTCCACGTCCTGCACATGGTCAAGTGTCAACAGCTTCCGTACTGCTCCTCCAGGCTGTCCCTGGAGAGAACCAGTTTGCCTTGACTTTAGTGATACTAGAAAGATCCCCTCCAGAACTGGGAACCTGGGGTAGGGATGCCGCTGGAGCTGACTACTGGGGGCACAGAGTGGGCAGAGCCCCCCTTCACTCTCTGCAGTGGAGGCCTTTTCCACATGCTAATTTTACTCGGAGGATTTTGCTTTTATTTATTTTTTTTATTATTTCCTATTTGTCTCTTCCAGATGTTTTCAGGGCAGTTTTTTTGTGTTGTAAACTAATTCCATTCATGTTTTAAAAATTTATGAAAGCGCTAATAAAAATGTCAAAGTGGTAAAAATGTTAGCTTTTCCTCTGCTTTGATTAAATTTTGCAAACTGTTTTTGAATATTAAAAAGCAATAATTTTTTTTATTCTCTCTCTTCACTTTCCCTTTTCTCTCTGGTGCGTGTGTGCTCTCCTGCCCTCTCCCCCCTCTGGTGCATTCCTCCCTTCCCAGGAGCGATGTGGGAGGCGTGCTGCACAGCCAGCGTTCTGCAAGCCTGTTTGCACACCAGGACCTTGGCGCTGTGCATCTCTATTAAATAACGGAGACAAATTAATCTTAGAGACACCAAACAAATTGTCACTCCTCCTCCTTCTCTTCCATTACGTTCCAGTGGACTGGGAAGGGCTGGCTAAGTGATTGGGGGGAGCAGGCTGGGGGAGGGTGTACTGCCTGAAAGAAAGGTGGGAAGCACTAGCTCCTATTACTCTTACTCAGTTTTCTGCTTCTCTTTAGTATCCCCTTTGGCTTTATTTATTATTTATCTTTTTTTTTTTTTCTGAAAAACGAATGAAGAAACTCATCGGTTCTGCTTAAACTTCAAATGCAGAAGGCTCTGATTGGTCTTATGGCTGGTTGTCTAGGTGACTGGAGATCCAGACCCATCCAGGGCAGAGGCCTGGGCAAGTGGAAGCAGTGGGGCTACTTTTGTGGGCTCCGGTAAATAGGCCTCTGGCAGAGAACCAGTTGGGGAAACTGGGGCAGCTTGTGCTACTGTCTTCTTTCCTCTTTCCAGAGACAGTGGGAGTGGGGTGTGTGTCTAGTCCCTGTTGCCTGTGAGGGTAGTGACAGTGGGAAGGTTAGGATGGAAACTGAGCTGGTGCCATTTCAGTCTTGGGTCTGTTCTGTCAGGAGTTTAGGAGTCCAAAACAGTCCCTCATTCTTGAGTTCCTTGAAATGGTTGGTTAAAAAAGTGTGTTCTTCTTTTTCTGTGTCTTTGCCATTCCAGGAAATCATCGAGTTCCCCATCCTGAAGCTAAATGGTCGGACCATGGAGATTGAGTCTACCTTTCACATGTATGTCCAGCCCGTAGTCCATCCACAGCTTACTCCCTTCTGTACAGAGGTAAGGGCCCTGGAGCGGGGCAGCCCGGGCTGCTGGGACAGGAGTCTTGGGTCACTGGTTCGCTGTCCCTGCAGCTTAGGGGCAGCTTGAGTCTTACTGCTGGTTAAGGGAGATGAGCATGGGACCTAGCCATCAGCTGGCGTTTTACAAAGTCTGCCACTCCACTTGCACTGCTGTGGTCACTGGGGACCCAAGAAGTGGCACAATCTGTCCCAGCTTCCCCAGCCTTTTCCCTCCCTTATTGTCCCTACCCCTCCTGGTGACCAGCACTTGGAGTGCTGCCCCCCTCGAGGGTGGTACTTCCGGGGCTCAGTTTCTCTTCAGTTCCATTTCCCTTGGGGCCTCTTGACAAGAAGTAAAGATTTCAGCTTCTTGGAAGGAGAGGTTATGTTAAGGCTCTCTTAGCTTCTGGTGATGTTTTTCTGTCCTGGAGCAAAGTGGCCCTGCTTGAGTTTGTGGGAAGCACAACCCTATCGTTGAGGAAAGAGAAGGGTGGTCTAAGTGGTATATGAGGCTGAAATGGCCTTACCCTTATGCTGTGCTGGTATTGGACTCAGCCACTTTGCCAGCAGGTTAGTATTGGCCCCATTCTGCAGATTGTGAAACTGGGCTAACTTGAGATCTTGATGCTTGCTAGAGGCTTAAAAGAGCTAATAGCGGAGAGCAGGTGCCCCTGCAGAGTTCTTATTCTCAGGATCTTCTGTGACTGGTTTCCCCTGTGACATGTCATGTTTTGCACTCTGTGGTAGCCACAGGCTGTAGTGGAATCATGGGCCATGTATGTGTGGCAGCAGAAGGAATGGGAAGACATGAGTGTTTCTGGAATCTTTTTTTCTTTTAAGAATTTGGGGCTGGGGTATATTCAAGATAGTGTGCCTTTGTTTAGAGATCTACTTTCTGCATATAAGTGAAACATGAGGAAAAAAGCTCTTGAGTGACCCTAAAACCATTGTCTTGGTGTGGGGAATGCTGGGAAAGGGCCTACCTGCCACTGATGGGAGGGCCCCATGGACTCTGAGGTTGACTCATCCCAGATACAAAGTTTCCAGGGGTTGCTACTGGGCTTGATGCCAGTGTTTCACGCCCAACCCAGATAGGCCTTTTGGTGCAGGCATCCATCTCCCAAGGTGTGTAGTCTCTCACCCCCTTTGTTCCCACTAATGATGTTGAGATTCTTGCTCCCTTGGAATCTGCTGTCTTTTTCCCCCCTTGTCCCCTGGAAATTACCTGTACCACCAGGGGGCGCTAATCTGTTCTTTTTGCCCCTTTTGGGGAAAAAAAAAAAGTCACCATTTTAATGGTGAAAATCCCCTTCCTTGTGGAAAGGGAAGATTTTCCTTAAGCAAGCCACTGGCCTGAAAATGCAAAATCCTCTTGTTCCTTCTCTTCCTCCTGTCTGTGTGCAGACTCCCGGTGGGGGTTCCAGCTAGGCTACCTGGCACAGCCGGGCAGGCCCAAATTTGGGAAAGGTTACTCTTGTTTTGGCATGGAGCAGTGCTGTTGGAGCTCAGCCCTGGGCAGGAGTGGGTACCTGAGAGTATTGGGAAAAGGGATTTTTTTGAGATCAGGGCTGCTGCTGCTTCTTTTGGGGGGTAGAGGGAGGAGGGATTGTGAGACTATGATGAGAGCTATTCTTCTTTTTTCTGGAAAGTTTCACCCCAGGACACACATACATAATTTGGAGGGCAGGAGGCATGGTGAGGTTGGGACCCTTGTCCTGAAGCCTTATCTGAAAGTGAAGATGTGTGAGCTGTGGCACCAAGGGTGCGATTTCGCCTCAGGCTTCTGGAGCCTCTAACTCTCCTTGACCTGGTCCTGGCCTTTTGTCCAGCCTCACATTTTCCTGCTTCATGCCCCACACTTTGCTCACCTAAGGTCGCCCCCTCACCATCTCCCTGTGCCTGTGATGCTGTTGCCAGTACGCTGCTCCCACTCTTGTCCTCCCCCTCCCCACCCCCAACACTTGTCCTCTAGGACTTTGCTCAGGGTCACCTTCTCTGGGGAGCCTTCCCTGAGCCCATGGCTGGTGCCACCACCCAAAGCCCAGAGCAGATGCATTAGACTGTATTTACTTATGTGTCTCCCCACTAGACCGTGAGTTCCTTGAGGGCAGAACCTAGGTCTGATCTATCTCTGGCCCATCATTGGAGCCTGGTGCCAAGTAAGCACTTGACACGTGTTCCTTAAATGAGTGAATATTGTCAAAGAGTATTCAACCACACCTTGCTGCCCGCCACCCTGCCCCTGCCCCGAAGTAACTGTCCTGCTCACTTGGTCTTTGCGAGCAAGTGAAGTCTTCTTTGGAAAACCTCAGATCATCTAAATATTGCCCTGTTTCCATTCCAAGTGGAGTTGGAATATAGAGAAAGGCATGGGCACAGGATGCAGGCCGTCATTGTGCGACCTCGTCCTGTGTGGCAGTGGGCTGCCTTTGGGGCAGAGAGAGAGATCTTCACGGTCAGAGAGGATCTTTCTTCAGTAAGGATTGTGCCTAAGCATCTCCTCCAGTAGGATTCCCTCTTGTGCACAAGAAGTTCTTAAGAACCCTGGCCTGTGTGTGTATGTGTGTGCACACACATCGTGACACATAAGTACACATATGAGCACATGCTCGTGCGGGGAGAGACAGGCTCTGTGCTGGGCAGCCAAGAAGAGGGATGCTGCCTTAAGTGGGTCTGTGACCCACATACAGACACTCTTACTGCTCTCTGTAATGGGCATGTGAGTAGCTTCTTCACATCCTTTCTTCGTTCCAGTTCATAGTCTGACTTGTTTCTAACAGAGACAGGATGGGATAAGTTTCATTCCTTCCCAAGCCCTTTCTCTCCCACATCTAGAATCTGCTCCAACCTGTCAGATCTCTGCTTCTAGCAGCTGGGTTGTTGCCAGAGTCCCTGACCATGTGTAGTCTTTTTTGTTGTTGTTATCATTGTCTTGGGAAAAAAAAAAAAAAAAACAACAACTAGAAAAAATACCAATTTTGCTAAATGCCAGTAAAGGGCTTTGTCTTGCACCTGTACTTATAAAGGGTGAGATTTATTGGTCTCTTTGTCTGAGGAGAAAGAGTGGGTCTGATTATCAGATTGTACACCAGAGACAAGTGCTTATGTAATCAACAAACTGTCTTGGTGTCAGAATACGATTGTGTTGGAGATAAACTGTGAAAGGAGAAAGCGCTGGATGCTGACATGCTATTGGCATTGAGTGTCCTGGGCTGCTTCCTGTAGTGGCTAGTGTTTATGATGAAGCCAGCTCATTCCCGGACAAAGCCCTTGTGAGGGTAGGGGATCTCAGTAACCAGTCATGTTATCAGTCAGGGTCAAAAGCCCCTCGCCTTGTGGTTTCCGAGTCTGGAGAAGCGGGAGTTAATCTGTAATCCCTCGGTGAAAGGAGCCACAGAGCACACATTAATTCTTCCTCTCACCTCTCCAGCTTTAAGTGGTTAAGGTCTTTGAGCTCTGTTTAGCCTGTGAGCCCTGGTTCTCAGCTTAATAATACTTGGCTTTGCTCTAGTACCTTTCATTGTGAGGATGTAAAAGCTTTTTACAAATATATATTAACCCAAGTGGGATTGGGTTCAAACTGCAGCATGAAGGATTTAAGTTATGCCTAAGGTAGAACTTTCCAGTATTTATTAAATTTATTAAATTAGCTTTCATGGCTTCTGTTTTAAGTCTTAGAGATGTCTTAGGTTGTATCAGATACAGGGACTAATTTCTTAATTTCACACTCTTCTTCAACGAGTGCCTTGGTGGAGCCAGTAAGATGTAGTTTGTCCTTGGAAGGATTCATACAGGGGAGTGAGGGCTTCCCCTGGAAGGGTGCCTCTAGCTGAACCAATAGTGCAAGCCCCTGTGTCTCTGGAGGTTGAATTCAAGCCCTTTAGGAGGTCAGCTATAAGCTGTGTCTGGCTGAACCACGAGTGGTCTAGGAAGCAGGGAGAGAGAAAGGGAGCTGGCCACACTGGGCTTCTCCCAGGCTGATGATTCCAGGCTTGCTGACCGCTGGATAGGAGTGTGAGAAAGCCCCAGGACCCTGGAGCCCTACTGCCTACCACCAGGGTGTAAAAGGCGGGCCTAGTCTGTAGTGAGAGGTCGTGCAGAGCAGTAGTGCCCTGGTTTTCATTTATAGTGCAGTGACTTTCTTTCCCCACATTAGTGAGTTTCCGGGGGCCAAGAACAGGTGCTTGTGGAGTACATAGATGCTGAACCAAGACCCATCTCCAAGGAGGGAGGTCTCTTGACAAGGGTGCCATTGGTTTTTTCTGTGAGTGAGCCTTTCTGGAAACCCTTCAGTGCTCAGCTCATCTCAGTGACCCTGGGTATAAGGAGTCAAAAGAAATTGTAGACCTAACCTTACCCCAGAAGACTCAGATGAGACATGGGAATGGCACACTGACCCCAGAGCTTTCTAAGAAGCACGAGTGGCTATAGGTTTTCCAGGATAGTCCTTACCCAAGTCTTAGCTCCAAGCTTGGGGGTATGGCTTGGTCCTGGAAGAATGAAGCCGGAGAGAAGCGGGGCCAGGAAGAGCAGTGGTGGGTGCTTGTTAGTCACCTGGTATTGCACCTGGAGTCAGCAACAAGCCCACTCTGGACTCTGCCTCTGTGTGCCTGAGACAAAACACAGGGCCGCTGCCTGCTCAGGGTGTGCTCTGGAAGGTGCGCAGGCTCTGGGTGCTGGCAGGGCTGGGCCTAGAAGGGGCTGCCAAGAAGAATGCAGATTCCGTGAGGGCAGGGATTTCAGTTTTTCCTCACGGCTGGATCCCTCGTTCCTGGAATGGGGCCCAGTACATTGTAGGCTGTCCATGAGTAGTTGTTGACCAAATGAAAGGAGGAGTGTTAGCTCTCGAAGATTAAAGCTGCTGACCCAGAGGTCTTCCTCACCCCTCACCCCCCAGCCCCACCCCTAGCCCTCAGTGGACCAACTTTCCTTCTCTATGGCTCAGGCCCTCCCTCTGCTGGGCAGTTCTTTGGTCTCCCAAGCAAGTAAAGGGTGTGGAGGGGCCAGCCGGGCGGGCCTGCTGTGGGTTAAAGCCTTGCGAAACAACAGTGTAGTTAATCTTTCTAATTTATTTTCCTTTTAGACCATGGGAAGTCTGTAGGCAGCAGCTGTTACCCAATTAAAATACAGATTAATATAAAAACAGTTTCTGGAATATAAAATAGAGTGGCTGTGTCCTTACACTTCCTTAAAATACCACCTAATAATGACTTGATGAACTACAGAAACCCACCTAGAGGAACTCAGCGTTCTTAAAATGAAAATTTCTTCCCTAAAAGGTGTGTATTACCATTCCGTGTAAGTCGCTATGAGAAAATAACCTTCCTTCTTAGAGCCAGCGGTTCCTGTGAGTTGGGTATTTGATATTCATTAAATGTAATTATAGTTTAATTGGAGTTTAATCCCCCCCAACACACTTTAAAAAAAGGAAGAAGAAGAAGTTCCCCAGCAAGCCTGAGATGCAGCTCTCTGTAGAAGTAGCCCTGGGCACATTGGGCATGGTGATTTCCACAAGGTCCAGGTCTGTGGATAGGGGCCTCCTGCCTCAGATCCCTGAGGCAAGCAGTCTTCCTCTGTGTTCGAAGGATATTTTCACTTTAAACAAAAGAAAGCAAAGCAACAAGGCTGTTTGTACCTAGGTCTGACGTGGGTGGAGCATAGACCTGTGAGTCAGAAATTCTCTAGACTAGGTTCCTTTATTAGGCCTTTGCATCTGTGTTTCCCTGTTAGTTAAAGATGTCTACTTCTTGCTTGCCTAGTTGGTATCGAGGACCCAGGTGTTCAGGGTAAAGGGTAGATGCCTGTGGGGTTCCCCCGGCTCTTCTCTGATGTTAGAAGGGAAAATGCTGGATATTGAGACCCAGAGAAGGGGTGGACTTGAACCCAGGTGTGGCTGTCCTGTGTGAGCATTCCTCAAGGTCTACAAGAACTTCTGTGAAGCTTGGAGGTGAATGTATTTTAGACTATAATTTGTAGGGATTTATTGGAGTTTATTGAATACAAGACACATAAAATCTTTTTCCTTTTTTTTTTTTTTTCTTTTCAAAGTGAAAGCTGAAATAGGTACAAAACATACCCTGTGGTCAGCATGGATGTGTTTCCCCCTCTTGGGGCAGGATGTTGTGGAGAAAGTTCACCTTATGTCCTGGGACTATATTCCCAAGGCCTCTGGCAGGTTCTGAGCCAAAAGCAGTGCAGGCCAGTCTTTTATGGCAGAAGGAGAAAGGAGAGGATCCAGTCTGGCTTTGAGACCCTGTGTCCTGCTGTTCCACCTATTGGCTATTTCTCTTTCCTTTCAGCTCACTGGGATTATTCAAGCCATGGTGGATGGTCAGCCGAGCCTGCAGCAAGTGCTGGAGGTAGGTTGAGTGACCTTTAATTCCTGACCTCTGACCCTTTCCCGCTGCCTTTCTCTCCCTCCCCTCCTGAGAATGTAGCCGTGTAATTTGACTATGATTATGGCTTGATTAGAATAACATTTGCTGTCACATCAGTGACATGCTGTTGAGAGTATTGAACCATTGATCTGTCATCTCCAGCTGTTCCCGTCAGGGTTACTGGCAAGATGTCCGAGTGCTGCCCTGAGTTCCACACGGGGCCTCCACCCCCTCCTGGCCCCTGGCCCTGGGCTGGGCAGCACGGGCGGCCGGCGCTGGGTGCATCGGGGAGGAGGGGAGCCGAGCCGTGGCACCGCAGGACTAGCCCTGGAGACCGAAGGTGTTTTTGTTTAGCTTTAGTGTTGGCTTCTTGTGGCATGTGAGCACTTCATTAACTCACCCAGAACTCCCCATCGATGGCTTTTGTTTGCTGTCAGCTCCTCCAGGAGGTGCGGCTGGGCCCGCCGGCCCCACTGCAGCTTGCCGCTGGATGCACTGTGCCTGTCGGGGTGCAGAGGCTGCACTGGGTAATGGTTCCTAATCAGAATAATTACAACAATTGCCTATGTGAGGGAAATCAAATTAAAGGCTTTAGAACCCTTGGCAGAGACCACACTTCTAGGATGTTCTCCTCAGGGAGCTGGAAAAGGTTAAGATGCTGCTGCTTGTGCTCCAGCCTGAGGGAATAAGCAAGGGCTGTGCTTGGCCTCAGCTTTTCTCCCACCCCTTCTGGCCTAGGGGAGGGAGAAGGTCCCTTTCCCCGCTCCCTCCTCTCTAGGGGGAGGGGAGAAGAGAAAAAGCCCATGGATCTCATTAGGTGCTTTATTTATCTTTAAGACCAGTAAACCCAAAGCTCAGCCCCTATCGAAGCACAGGAGGAAGCAGAGTTGGGGGTGGTTAGCAGGGCACGTCTACATTGGAGGTAGTCAGCCTAGAGGAAGTTGGGGGGGTAGCCTGGGGAGGGAAGAAGATCTAGAGGCCCTGTCCCATGGGAGAGAGAGATGCAGACTGAATTTCCTGGGACTCCTCAGGATGGAGTCGGGTTTAGGCCCACCCGGTGACAGGTATGCTCCCTGTCCCTGGGAGTGTACAAGCCTGGGTTCTCTGATCAGTCAAGCTCTGGGTCGGGTCGGTGTTAGGGTACTTGCATAGGTTGGGAGAAGAGAAGATGAACTGTGAGGTGTCTCACAGCCCCACTGACCCTCTTTTTTTGAGGGAAGATTGGCTCCTATGATTGAGGGGGCACCTCAGCATTGATGCTTCCTATAAGACCAGACTCAAGGAGAAAGAGGGGACCAACCCATCCTTTCCTATGTCCCAGCCAGGGCCTAGCCTCTGAGGGAGGCCACACGCTCTTTCCTGAAGTGTCTCCGGCCAGTATCCTAGAAGAAAGACACCTGCTGTAGTCCAGCATCGAACCAGAGCTATTGAGGTTATGGGATTTTTTTTTTTTTCCCTCAGTGGTGCTGGTTGAGGGAGCTATGGTCTTCAGGAGGCTTCCTCCTGCTAATCTCGGGCCAGCCTGGAGCAGAATGCTGGGGGGATTCTGAGTCTTATCCATGAGGCTACTTTCTGCTACTTCAGCATACTTTGTGGGTGAAAAGGGAAGACACCTGGCATCAGCCTGAATAGGGAGTCTCTGGCCAGGAGACCAGAATGGGCTCTGCTTTGTCTCATTAGCCCTGAGTTGGTCAAATAGCTAAAAAGCTGACTTCCTGTCCTAACCAAGGCTCTGAGCGAGTGGTCAGCTAGATGTTTGTCTGACTAGTTTGGTTCAGGTAGGACTCATGCTAGACCTTCAGTAGCTGGGAGGGTGGCCACAGTTCATTGGGGATTGTCTTGGTAATTCCTCTAACTCTTCGTCCATTTAAGCAGAGAAGGGAAGGAAAAAGACAGGCTTTATTTCAAATATAGTAACACTTCCCTGGACCGCTCACCCTAAAAGGTTCTCACTAAACATCTGTTGCACCAGTGAATGGGCTGGGTCCTAAGCTTCCAAGGAATAACCCCATGGAATAGTAAGTGCTTCTCATGGGGAAGGTCCTGCTGGGCACTGGCTCCTGACAATCCTGTCTTGCTGTCTTTTCCAAGACCACTGTGTAGGAGTTGGGGCATTAGGAGCCCCCGCATAGCAGATAGGGCACTTACCTTGGGGATATAAGGCCAGTGAGCTAGAGCAAGGTTGGATGACACAGGCAGCCCTAGGATTGCCTTACTTCTTTTCTTACATAAAGTCGTGGGAAAGGATACATGAATGTGAATGTGTCCATGTCCTCTGTGCAAGTGGGCCATGGAGGCTGGGGAAACAAGCCATTCAGCAGTGGAAGTTCCAGAATTTAGCTTGCTGGGGAGACTCTTTGGCTGAGGGGAATTCTTTGGTGTGCAGACCGTGAGGAGGGTCTGCACAGTTTGGCTCAAGGAGCAGCTCTGACCCCCTAAGAGGTAGGACCACTCTAGCCAGAGAATGACCTAGGACCTTTGGCCCTACTCAAAGACTGCTTTGGCGTGGACCAGGCCTCCAGTATCTCTGAGATGTCCCAGGAAGCCAGCCTACACTTGCTAAGAGTTAGCTTCCTTCACGATTTCAGTGGGCTCTCCTTTACCCACTGGAGTCTTCACAGTATGGCCCATGTATCCCCCAGTGTCATTTCCTGTCCTTCCTTTCTACACACTGGACTTCGGTCACACTATTCCCTACTCATGTTTTAGTGAATCAGCAGGAATCTGTTGAGAGGACCCTGCTGGGTTAAGGATTTACACAGTGAATAAGATGAATGAAAGTCCCTGCTTCACGGTGCTTCTAGTCTGTTGGGGGAAGCAGATATCGAGCACACAATTGCTTCTCAGATACAAAATGATTTCACCTGTGCTTTCCTTTGCTCTGCTCTACCCCGTCATGCAAACCCAGCCACCAGGTCCCCTAGTTGGGAGAGGCGTCTTTGTGAAGCCTTCCTTTCTGACTCCTTTCTCTGTCAAAGGTAGAGCTGGTCACCTCCTCCTCTTGGTCCTACTGCATTCTGGTCGCTTCTCCGTGGCTGCATCTATTTTATTGTATTTAGATGATTTGCCTTTCTCGCCTTCTCAGCTTACTGTCTATTTTGTGGTAGGCACTTAATACATTATTACATTTAATTCTCAAAACAACCCCGTAAGGTTAGTCATGCTACCTCATTTTATAGATGAAGGAAGCTGAAGTTCACAGAGGTTAAATGACTTTTAAATGACTTCCCATCAGTGACACAGCCAGGATATGGAAGAGCCAAGGTTAGCACCCAGATGTGTCTGACTTTCAATTCTGCATTTGTAGCGACTTTGCAATGTAGCCTTTAAAAACGAATCCTTCTGTGTGAGTGGCACGGTGGTCATCTGCTGTACTGCCACCCCATGCCTGGATCTTCTGAAAAATAGGCAATGCTTCAGGAGCACTTTATGATAATTCTCTCAGTATATACTGATTTTAGTATCTGTACTTTCCATGTGAGTGCAAATACTGAAACTGATTAAAGGGATGAAGGGAAAGAAGTACTTGAAGTGTGTTTAGGAGCAGTTTTTAACCCTGTCTAGGCATTGAGCTCAGCTTTGAAAAGATTCTCCTGAATCTGGATTTGAATCCTCAACCAGGAGAGGGGAAACATAAAGTCTGGGGCCAGTTTATGAGCTTTCAAGAGACCGAAGTGGGCAGTGCCACCCCAGGGATCAAGGTGGAGTTCCAGCCCAGCAAGGGAGCTTTTTCTCCTAGACTCACAGTGAAGATTAACTTCATCCTCATTTGGGAAATTCATAAATTTGGTTAATAAGCCTTTGGTGGGAGGTTGAAATGAACAGGAATGAATGAACCTGTGGATTGGAGTCCCTGCCTGGGGCCTCCTTCCCGCCTGTCCTCATGGCCCAGGGCATCCTGTGCCTGTGCTAGGCTTTGCTTTTGAGGACCGACTTACCGGTATATGTCCTTATCCCGTCTGGGGTTAGGTTGCCAGGCATCGGGGCAGTGGAGGGGCTCCCTTCCCCCACTCATTCAGGTTTGTGGAACTTCCCTGCAGGGATCACCCTCCCGCTGCCCACACAGCCCTGAGCCAAGGCTGAGAGCCCAGAGCAGAGCCATGGCCAGATAAGATTACATTTTTCTTCTGCTCTGATTACAAGCAGCTTATCTGCGTTTCTTTGGTGTGGCTCTTCACAGACTTGGGAAGGAAAAAAAAAGGAAAATCTCATCTGTTCTTGTGTACTTTTCAGAGGGTCGATGAGTGGATGGCGAAAGAAGGCCTCTTAGATCCAAACGTCAAGTCAATTTTTGTCACCTGTGGAGACTGGGACTTGAAAGTCATGTGAGTATGAGAAGGACTGCTTTACTGGCAGGGCTTGGAAACCATGGGACCAGGTCATGCCTTTCGCAGGCCAACATGTCCAAGCCTACAGGGCAGCTGGCTCAGCGAGTCCCTGGATCTTTGGGGCTGCCACGGTGTGAAGAGGGCTGGGAACCCCGCCTTCTGACTCTGGAGCTGGGAGTAGACCAATCAAGGACCCTACTAGGACTGCAGTTGTCTGGACCTTCCTGCCTTTGCCAGGTCCCACTGCTCAGGACAGCCCTTCCAGTTGTGGGGCTCCGTGTTACTGCCCTGGAAGGAAGGAATTAAAAGAAGATCCTTTTTTTTTTTTCTACCAAATGTATAGTGTTTACTACCCTTAATGCTTTAGAAATAGTCATTTGTTTAATAAATCTTGGTACTTTTATTCCTGTTTTATAGATAAGGGAATTAAGGCACAGAGAGGTTAAGTAACTTGCCCAAGAACACACAGAGCCAGGATTCAAACCCAGGTAACCTGGCTCCAGGGTTCTGTCTCTTAACCATTCTGCTGTGCCACCCTTTTATCTGGGGTACAAGGCCCTGATGATTCAACTGCAGGCCCATTGGTGGGATGAGAGAGGGCTGCTTCTAGGGAGCTACCCAGTTCCCCAGCCTCCTTGTCCCTCCTTTGTCCGCACTGCTTTTTCTCCTTTGTCTCCGGGTCTTGCCCTGGTCATGGAAGACAGAACTGGTTCCGTTGCTGGGTTGACACTTTTGCCTCTTGTCTGTCCTCATGGATACCTGGCTTCAGACAGCCCCCAGGGAGCTAAAGCGGGGTGGAGGTGGTAGGGGCACTGTTTGCTGAGGATTGATAGAATCGATACCTCTGTGTTCTTTGTGACCAAAGGCAGCTGCAGGCATTCTGGGAGTGTGTGTGTATGTGTGTGTGTGCGTGCGTGCACGTGCGTGCACACTTGTGCGCATAGTTGGGGTGTTGGTGGGGGGTGAGGAATAGTGACATTTCCTACCAAATTAGGCATGATCTTCTCACCAAGGTCCTTTTTTATGCCTTTTGGATGCTGGGTATTGAGGTGAAGTTACACACTCAGGTGGATATCAAGCCTGCTGCTGGACACTGACTTGAGACAGGAGGAGAAGCAAATCCAAAGCACATAAACACCCACTCACCTCATGTCCACATCCCTCAGGTTGTGTACACACACTGACTGGATACCTCTAGGTGTATGCACAGGACTCCCAGAGCTCCAGAGGATCTGTGTTCCCAGACGACACTCATGGGGCAGAGAAATGACAGAGGCTGGATCTGGAAGCGGATATGAATCGGGGAGGGTTCTGTGGGGAAGGTGAGGAGGAAGAAGGCTCTTGCTCTTATTTATGGCATCTGGGCCGCTCTGAGTGCCTGAAGCAGAGAAGGGATTTAGGTGGAGCTCCGTAGCCTAAGAGAAGCTGTTTGGGGTGGGCACGGTTCAGGCCATACCCAGCATCTGGGGCTCATGTAACCCAGTCCAGAGGCCCAGTTTCTCCAGATAGCCTCCCAGGACTTCCACTCTTCCAGGTGGATTTTGCTCTTTGGTGTATTCATATCCCAGACACCCATATTCCAGAATCTTCTGCATTAACTGGGAATGGCATGTGCGTGTGTGTGTATGAAAACGTCCCTGTGCATCCCTGTGGGGACTGTCTGGCCAGGTCTCCTCAGTTGGTTTCTCCATGAGACAAAGAGGGAATTTCAGAGGGTGTTCTCTTTGGGTCTGGCCATTCTGACCTGTAGCACCAGATCAGATTTATTTTAGAGAGAGAAAGAGACAGCATGAGTTGGTGTTGGGGGATGGGGGTGCGGACAGCAGACTACACACTGAACACAGAGCCTGAGATGGGGCTCCATCCCAGGACCCTGAGATGATGACCTGAGCCAAAACCAAGAGTCAATTGCTTAATCAATTGTACCACCCAGCCACACTGAAACCAAATTTTAATGAGCATGTACCATATTTCATTTGGTCCTCCTAATTATATTCCCTTTTATAGAGGGAAAAAACAAAACAGAATTCGAAACCGAGGCCTAAACTAGTAGACTCGTAGCTAGACAAAATTGAATTCTAAGACCATGTTGCTTCTAAAAGAGAGGGATTGGGCAGACTTTGGTAGCTGGTTTGGGTTTGTATTGAAAAGACCAGTGAAGCTCTGAAAAAGAATATGCAGGAAGGAAGCAGATGTCAGGTGGCAGGAGCTGGGGGAGGAGAGCTTTGTGGCTGCCTTTTAGAAGCAGGACTCCGCATAACTGCTGGGAAGGCTCTTAATTAAATGTGTAACAAAATAAAAACAGCCAGAGAGGAAACCTAAGTAGTGTTTCGTGACAGTGCACAGCTTATCGGTGTTCCTGGAACCTCTCATCAGATGGCTCTCGTCAGAGCCATCACCTTTTTATGCGCCTGGTAAAGGCTGCTGAGGAACCTGACAAGGGTGGTGGTAAATTGACACCCGCAACTTGTTAGTATGGGGCTCGCTTCTTATTCTGACATCCATTTTCAGATTTAACTGAGTCTAAGGAATTCAGCAAATATTTTCATTTCCCACTCTAGTTTCCCGGAGCCATGGCTTTTTCTCATTGCTGCTCTTCCCCTCTCTCCCAACACCCACCCCCAGCCAGCTTCCCATCACTTTTGTTGGAAAGGGCCTGATTAGTGAAGCACTGAGAAATGGGAACTGAAGTGGCAGCAGAAATCCCACTGGAGAAAAGAAATCTGCTCCGGTCCCGACAGAATCATTTTGTGTCCATCTTTTGTCAAAGTCAGATGAGTTGATACTCTGTGGGCTTTTGATGCTGTAGTCACAGATCCTGCCGAGGTGGGTTTTAATTTAGTGGTCACGGATTTAATTTTCCTTCTCAACTTGTTTAAGAAATGACACTTGTTATGGCTTTGGCCCTTGGTCAGCTTCCTCCCCTACCTGACCTTTCTTTTGCCTTACCTCATGGTTCTTAAAGCTCTTCATGGCGTTTAGTATTCTTTTTCCAATTTTCTCTCTTCTCTGCCTACCCAGGCAGGGAATGTCTCTGTAAAGGGGTTCCATCTTTGACATGGCAGCAGAGATCCTGCTGGGGAAAAGCAGTGTGCCCTATCTGCCAGCTGAACTCCAAGCTTTGATATCCAACTACCTATTCTGTATCTCCACCTGAATGCCACAGGCCCCTTAAAGTTCAGGTGTCCTCCTTCTCCCAACACTTCGTCCTCCAATTTGCTCTCAAGTTGTGACTGGAACCACTGTCTGGTAGTTCTGTCAGAAATCCGAGACTCATCCTTGATGCCTCTTCTCTAGCCACAACCAATTAACTGCCAAATCTTGTTGATTCTTCCTGCCAGAGGTTTCTCAAAGCCTTTGTCTTCTTTCCATCCCCACTACGGCTGCCAGTAGTTCAGGTCACCAGGTGCTGCCTTTTTTTTTTTTTAAGATTGATTTATTTATTTGAGAGAGTGAGAGTACGAGCAGGGGGAGGAACAGAGGGAGAAGAAGAGAATCTCAAACAGACTCTGCAAAGCATGGAGCCTGACACAGGGCTCGATTCCACAGCCCTGAGATCACAACCTGAGCCGAAACTGAGAGTCAGACTCTCAACCGACTGAGCCAACCAGGTGCCCCTCAGGTCAACATATTCTTCTTGGATTACAAAAGTCTTCTAAGTCGTCTCTCTGACTCTAGTTTTACCTCCTTGCCATTCTGACTATAGCAAATTATGTCCCATACCCGCAAAACACTCTCAAGGCTTCCTCTTGCCCTCAAGGCAAAGTCATGTTGCTTAATGAGGCCCTTGCCTACTTCTCGAACCTCATCTTCATAACTTTCTATGCACCCTCCACCCCCAACCCCAGCCAGATGCTCTAGCTGGCCAGTTCCTCATGATCCTTTGGAACATCAATTTCTAGGTGCCTTCCTTTGTGTTTCTGGAGCACATGTACTTATCTATATATGAAATTGTATTGTGTCTGCCTCTACTTGTCTGTCCCTCTCACTAGACTGTGGGCACCATTATAATCTTGAACAATGTTTGGTATGTAGTGGTTGTTGAATAAATGTATGTTGAATAAATGACAGCTCAGGAATGGAGTGAGCCTGTGGAATCTGTACTCAGGAAGAATGACAGAGGATTAATGGAAGGTAGATTCAGGGAGAATGGAACAGAAGAGGAAATCTTGGGCCTTCCTGCACCAAGCTGAGTATGAGGGGTTGAAGAACTATGCTGCTAATGCCAGGAAGCTCCTGGATTTTCTCACTGCCAGCACAGGGTGTTGGGTCTTCCTTCCATGGTGGGTACTGGGTGAGATGGCCCACAAGCCTGGGCCATGGAGGAATTTGGTCCTAGGAGCTGGCCGAAGGGCTCTCTGAGAGTTTGTGCCTTCTAAGACTGAGGGCTGGGATTGCGCTGGAGACATTTACATTAGATAATAAAGATAGCCAGCATGTATCAGGCATGTATTACATACCAGGAGTCCTGCTGTTCTATTTATACATTATCTCACTTAATTCTACCACAGTCCTATGAAATAAATTCATTTTATAATTTTTTTTTTTTTAAATAAGTGATGAGGAAGCTGGAGTCCAGAGAGGTAAGTAATTTGTCAAGGGCACACAACCAGTTTGTGGCGGGGATTTGAACTTAGACATCCCGATTCTAGAAACTGTGTGTTTAACCACTGTGCCATCTGCCCTTCGTGGCCCTTGGCTTTGTGATATGGTGGGGATTCCCTTCCCTCTTTCCTTTATTTACACTGAATGGCAGGTGTTCTCTGACACCCTAGGCTGCTGGTACCTGATCTGGTATTGGTGGAGGTCTGGACTGTTAGGTTTATTTTGATATGGGGTCGTGGTTGGCCAGGTGTTGTGAGGGATGGTTTGGGGTGTCTGAGAGCTTCCTCGATGAGCTACAAATGAATGAGTCCTCAAATGTGTTCTAAGGAAACCACTGCCAGTGTCATTTTGGATACCTCTTTCCTATAGTATGTTTGGAAGCATGTAGGGGA